ACCATTAGATCCTAATAATATAAAAGAATTTATAGAATTACCTACACTGTCTGACTTCTTAGACGATCCTTCTAAAATTAACGAATATCTTTTAATTTTAAAACACTGGAGGAAATAAAATTTCTTTACAAAAAAATTTAAATGATGTTTATAAAATTTAATAGTTTTGATCCTTTAATAAATTTATTTATTTTACTTATATTTTAGGCAAATTTTTTATTAAAACCCTTTTTAAAATGTTTAATTATAAAATATGAGTTTTTTTAATACTTTATGAAAAAATTTGTATTTTAGTTAATTTTTTACTTATAAAATTTTAAAAAACAAATATTTTTTGTAGCTGATCGTATTAATTTTAAAGAGTGGTGTTATTTTTTGTATAATCATTTTTAAAATATTTATACATGTCGCTCCTCGTGTTTAAAGGTTTAAAATTCTTTTATTTTTTGTCATCACATCCTTTTGATAGATTTTGTTTATATACCAAAAGGAGAATTTTTAATGGTTGTTTGATGCATCAATAAATATGATTGATGTCAATCGTAAGTAATATCAATTATGATTATAATATCAAAAAATTAATGTAAATATTCAAAATAAAGATATTTTTGTATAATTTTTAATTTTTGTTATAAAAACTCTTACGTTCTATTAAAAATTTTATATTGATTTATTATATTCTAAAATCAATTTTTTAAATAAAATGAACCTTTTTAAATTATTAAACTAAACCATCTTTTTATAAATCTCAAAAAAATATTTGATCAACTTTTATCAAAACTGTTTTGATTATCATCTCAAATTTTATTGATAAAACATTATATTTATTTATAACTCTTAGCCCCTTTTGCTTAAAATTTTTGAACATATAAAAAATTATTTAGTTAATTAATAATTTAAAAAACATTTCAAATACTTTTTCTTAATATAAAAATATAACCTATAAAATCAAATGACTTAACAACACTGTAGTTCTAGTACAATCAATGACAAAAATTAGAAATTTTATAAACTTTATTTAATCATATTTTAAGACATTATATATAATTTATCAATAAAGTAATGAATGTACTTTTTAGAAATTTTTCTTTCGACTTTAACAAAATTTATTTAGTTGATTTTCTGGAATATAATATTAAATTTTACAACAAAAAAGTGTATAAATTTTAACTTGTATATTAAAAATATCCTTTAATCTATATTAATTTTTAAATGATGACTTTATAAATATATCTAATTGGTATTTAAATTTTTTAAAAAGTAAGGTAAAAATATTAAAACTCGTATTTTTAGCTTTACAAAATAATTTTAACTCATAATAGTAAAAAAGATAGACTTTTAAGATTAATATATAAAATTTTGTAAAATAAACTTATCATATCAGTATCAGTTGATTTTAATAAGTCAATTGAAAGATATGAAAATCAGTTAAAACTTTTTATTTAATATTTAAAGGAAAATAGTTAACAAAATTTCAAATTTTATTAAAGTTATAAATAACATAAGTTTTTAGATAATTAAGAAAGTTCTAAAGATATTATCATACAGTGAACCAATGTTTTCAAAAGAAAGAAGAAAATTTAGGTTCTTAATAATAACTATCTTATTAATTAAAAAAACAATATTTTCTAAATATATTATAAATGATTTTAAAACATCTTCATTTACAAATGATTAGATATAATTAGAGTAATATCAACTAAAATTATATACAATGTATTATATATTCTCATTCCAAATTATTATCTATAACAAAATTTCATCATATTGATTTTATCTGAAACATAAAACTTTTAAAACAATACATCATTCTACTATTAAAAACATACATCTACTATTTTTAATTTTATATAATATTTTCTCTAAAGATTTTATTATGTTTGTAATTTATATAATAATTGAGTTCATTTTAAATAACTTAATAATATCAAATAAAAACAATAAATTTATTACAATAATATTAATAAAAAAAATATTTTAAATTTATATTATCTTAAAAATTAAAAAATCTTTAATATGACTTTAATATGATGTTTTTTATAAATTTTTTCTAAATAATGGTATAAAACCATTCTTCTAAAAAAATCTATTGATTTAAAAAAAATATATTAAATGAAATTTTAATATTTCGTGCTTTAATTTATAATTAACTAACTAACTAATTTTAAATAAAAAAATTTTTGAATATAAAATTATTTTATAAAAATGAAAGACATACCTTTAGCATTTAAAAAGTATTATAATGAAATATTTCCATACAAAGAAGTTTATAAAGTATTTGAATTAAACATAAACAAAGAATTAGCGTTTAAATTACCTTCAAATACATTTGTTAGACATCAAGCATTTCAAAATGAGAGGGAATTTTATAGTAGAATAAAATCACTTAATCCCAGCAGAATAGAATTAGGAGCTATTTATAATGACAAAGCTTGTTCAAAAGTAAATGGAGCCAAAATAATTGGTAAAGAATTAGTATTTGATATAGATTTAACTGATTATCCAAGAAAATGTTGTGAAGGAAGACAAATTTGTGAAAAATGCTATGAAATCATCAAATGTTCTATTAAATTATGTGATTACATATTTAAAGAAGAATTTGGATTTGAAGAATATGGATTTGTGTTCTCAGGCAGAAGAGGTGTACATTGTTGGGTG